TAAGATGGTTTTAAAAATATGTTTGAATAGTGAAGAACCCCGTAAACTAAGATAAAAATACTATATTTAGTGTAAAAATGGAAAGTAGTTTAAATTAAGCAACTATATTAATAATTTGAAAAAGGATAATAATTAATTAATTTAAAACTAAAATCACATAACTTGTTTTAATGTTGTTCTCTTTAAAAATTAATGACAATATTTACACTTGAATACTGTTTGTAAATATTTTTAATTGAGTTCGTTGTCAAAAGTTCTTGGAATAAGACGGTTTATTAAATATCAAAGAATAGTTATGATAAAAATTTAATAACAAGTAAAAGTAACACTCAAATATGATTAACCTTGTATTTAAATATAACAGTTAAAAAGTATTCAGGTAAAAATTAAATTTATTTGACCAAAAGGCATTCAAATTGGACTTTCTATATAAATGAAAATAATTAATTTCAAAAATATGAAATTAAACTCAATTTTGAACAAAAATTTAGACATTTAGATTTCTTTTTACCTATATATCATGAATCAGGTAATAAGTGTGATTCAAACTAAAGAGAGAGAAAAGTCAAATTCAATTTAAACACCAAATCAAACCAATCTTTTTTTCTTCTGATTCCAAAGCTTCGGTGTGAACTGTTCAAAAAGATCCTTCTCAGATTCAATTCAACGAATCAAAACAAAATCTCACAAACCAAATGCAAAACTCTACTGAATCTTCTCCAGCTTCAGCCGGGCCGGTGGACCCGGTGCCGTTCCTCCCACAAAGCCGCCACGTCGCCCGCCGTGCCCCACTACGAACAGCGACGAGGTTCTTCCGACGCGCGAGCGGGCGGCGCCTTATGCTGGGAGAGGCTTCGGTGCGCGTGCGGGAAGCGGCCGCGGCCGAGGTGGAGGAGCGGCAGAGCGAGTGGGCGTACTCGCGGCCGGTGGTGGCGGTGGACGTCCTGTGGAACACGGCGTTTCTGGTGATCGGTGCGTCGGTGCTGTGGCGGAGCGCTGCGGAGGAGCCGAGCGTGCCTCTCAGGACGTGGATTTTGGGGTATTTAGTGCAGGGAATGATTCACTCTCTCTGCGTCCTGGTTGAGTTCCGAAGGAGAATGATGAGTGGGACCAATTTCCGTTCCAATGTGCCAAACCATGTTGAATGGAGCTTCACTTCTGAAAGTGACCAAGAGTTTTATTATTACGAACCCTCTCTCCAGGGTGATGAAAACTGGTACCAACTCTTATGATCATTTATTACTTCGGGTTATACATAAAATTTTATGAACATAACATTTCTTCTTTTTATAAATGATTATAGGTAAAGTTCATTGATTAAGCATGTTTGTTTGCTTAAAGAAATAATTTAGTTGGACAGTGTACACATTATTACAAAGTGTTTATACACCACATTATATAACTTGTATATATAAAAATATTAGCAGGTAATAAGTATAGTTTAACTACAAATGTACAATGTCATGTTAAAAGTTGTGTATTAGTAGTCAATTAAGGTTTTTCTTCACTATATTTTTTTTGTTATTGTTGTATTGTAATTTTTAAGTATAAAATGCACAATCTATATTTAGTCAGAGATTCATCAAATTAAATTGTAAAATTGATTGCATTTTAATTGGATTATTTCATAATTTTATTTTATTTTTTGTAGGAAAAAACATACATTGCCTTGGGTCCTTTAGAACACTAGTAGCTCCCCCGGCACATGATGATTTATTATCTATACCATAGTATTTTGGTCGTTTATGTTTTGTTAGTTTGCATTTTCCTTTCTTAGTTTAGTGTAGTAAACTATAATATGTTTGGTAAAAAAAGTTTGAAATTTGAGTTAAAGAAAAAATAGGAGAAAACAAATTGAATTTTATTTATGTAGATTTTTTTTTCTTTTTAATTTTTATAATTTCTTCGATCAAATGAAAGCAAATGCATTGTCGTATTTGTTCTTTTTTTTTTTTCTTTATCGTTCGAACATGGGTAATTGGTGGAAACCCGAAATTTGTTAAGTTTTGATCTTGGTTTCTTATTTTGAATTATAGTTTTCCAACGTAGATTATTTTCTGTGAAATTCTGAATATAGATGAAAAGTGAAAATAATAGGATATATTTATTCTGGACGTGGAACAGATAGACCTTTAAATTGTGAAAAGGCAACAATAGATTTCCTGTTTGTCTGTGCAAACTCGTGATGAATTTAATGATAAATTTGTGGTTTGAAACGATGCTTTGAAGGACAATACTATACACGTTATTTCACGAGTGTGTGTTTTTCGCCGTCTGAATGATCATTCTGGACTACGGACGGTTAGGGTGACAATGAATGAAAGCGGTATAAAGTGAAGAAATTGAAACTAACAAGTTTGGAATCATTCAGTTATGCATTGTTTAATGTCTTGATGCATTTTCATTCTCTACTATATATCCGTTTCAATTCTTCCAATATAACCGCATTTCATAAAGAGAGTATCTTTTTGAGACTAGTTTTGCTGTATTTAGCATTGTAGGTTGAATGTCGAACTGTTCCTTTTTTTTACCTTACGCATGTTTGTAAACTTATTGTTTGTTGTTTTGTCAGCATCATAAAATACATAGAGTCGGCAAATACCATGCTTTCATTTATATGGTGGACTGTTGGAGTCTACTGGGTAACTCTTGGTGGCCAGAGTCTGACAACGGATGCACCTCAGCTTTACTGGTTAGTTGGAATCTGTAACATTATGTATTGGTTAAATTATATGAAAAGTTAATAATATCTTCATGGATTTAATCATCATGCACCTCTCTTTGCAGTATTCTGCCTTATCCCATTTTGTAATCATCATGCATGTTGTGTTATGCAGGGTCTCTATCGCATTTCTTTCTTTCGACGTTGTCATTGTACTGATCTGTGTCGCTGTTGCATGCCTTATTGGTATTGCTGTTTGCTGCTGTCTACCATGCATCCTTGCTCTCCTGTACGCAGTGACAGATCAGGTCGTAATGCCATGCATTCTGCAACCCATCTTTATATATCATTAAAAGAATTGTCTTTTGTCCCTTCAGTACGTAAATCCCTGTGATTTCAACAAACTTATCAATGTCGAATCATGGATTTGTTTTCAATTTTGTTTCATTCCCTTTTTTGTATGCGTCATATTCTTTTTCTCCAACTTTTTCATACTTAATTTTGACCTTTGATTGGTAACAGGAAGGGGCAACGAAGGAAGAGATTGACCAGTTGCCAAAATATAAGTTCAGAATAATAAAAGAAGGTGATATTGAAGAATCTTCAAGAGGAATAATGATCGAATCTGAGAGTGAGACAGCCACAGAACATGTTGTTGCCTTAGAAGATGCAGTAAGTTCCTAGTGTTTTTCAGAATAAAAATGATCCTATCCTCCAAATGTTAGGATTTGAATACATATCTTTTTGTGTTAAGATTTCTTTCTTCTCCTCACATTCCATTAAAATTGTCTAAAAAATTTAGTTATGTATATTCACTTTTAATTTTTTTTTTCTGTTTAAATTTGTTTGTTATATCTTTTATTTATTTAAGTTAATTCTACATATTTTTATTATGATTTTAAATATTTTTCTTCTGTTTTATATTTTTAAAACATTTAAAAATTTAGGCATAGTGTTTCTGGATACTTGCTATATATTATTGTAAGCTCTTGTGCATGTATATAGAGCCTTGCTATATTTTCCAACAATTACCTCTTGATACTTCATAAAAAGAAGTACATAAAACAAAATACAACAAACATTTAATTCTTCTTTGATTAGGAATTAAGAGGATTTGCGTAAAAGTTACAGACCGATATCAAATTATTCTTTGGGCATAACATTTGCACAATCGTATCTACATCGTGTCAAAGCAAATCAATGTTTAGATTATTATTGTTTTATTGTTGGGAGGAATTCCTCATTTTTTGGAAAAAGTTGTACCTTTTAAGGTACATTTAGAATACTTGCACCAATAATTAAAACATGAACTAAACCCTTTATGTGTTTTGAGTACTCAGTCTATTTGAAATATAAACATCTTATTTGTTGAACTTTATATCTTTGTTTATTAAAGCCGATGCAACCTTTATAATGCCCAGTATGCTGCACCAGGTAGCTGTATATTTTGATGGATGGTTTCACACTTTCACTTTCACAATTTGGAAGAGCAAAATTCATTTTTGCTAAAAGAAATCCCACTTATGACATTGATGATTGTGGTATAATGACAGGAATGCTGTATCTGTCTCTCTCCATATGATGATGGTGCTGAAATCAGAGAACTTCCTTGCAACCACCATTTTCATTGCGCATGCATAGACAAATGGCTGCTAATCAATGCTACCTGCCCTCTCTGCAAGCTTGATATTTTGGTTGGTAACCACCATCATGAAGTTTGAACAGGTTCCTTTTTTCATTGCATTGATTAGTAGGAAAACAGAGCCCTTTTGACATCGCTCTGTTTTCTGTGCTGTGTATATTTCTCCCTTAATCATGTTGGGAACAGTTTGTTTCCAGCTAAATGTGCATTAACTATTAAGACCATAAGCCCTCTCACTTCAGCTCATGACATGACCAGATAGACACGATGCCTTATATTAGGAAAATCGTATTTATTGCACAAGGTTTCACACCTGTTCTGTATAACTGTATCTTACGATGACAAGGTCATGGAGGCCTGAATGAGAATATCCAAATTCTTGTACATTGTTGGACCTGTACAGAAAAATAAAATTTATTATGATTTCCATGCAATGGTTTTTTTGTTGTTTTACTCCTTCGTAGTCTTCAAGATAAAATATGATTGCTACATTTTATTTTCATGCACGGTTATTACTGGCAGTAATGCTGAAATCTCTCTTGATGGGTTTCTAATATCCATCCTTTTCTTGTGAGATCTTCTAGCTTCTTCCTATTTGGGGAGCGATGGGCCTCCATATATTTTGTTTGCTTGAGAAGAGAGAAATATGTAACATGAATACAATATACCTCAAACCTAAATTATGGAAGAGTGTGTCTAAAAGATGGTCTTGGTCCAACAATCATCCTCCTAAATTTGATGTTTGGAAATACAATCTATTAACACCCATTTTTTGTATCTCAATTTTTAAGTACTCATCTTACACTTCACTTATTTCTCTTTTATTTTGATCATATGACTTACTAAATTTCTTTTGTGTGCTCAAAATAACACGTGTTGGAAGTAGAACATACACAAAAAATTTTAAAAGCTAACTTTTTCTCTACAAACATTGACTGTTTTTTTTTGGTACATTATAAACTCATTCATCCGTGTACAGTTAAAGAGACTAATATTAACATCCGAAATGCAGAGGTCAACAAAGTGAACAAACTAGTAAAATACTCTACCTTTTCTACAACTAGTGTCAGAAACTAAACCATTGTCAATATGCTTAAATTACTGTTAACCAAATCAAGAAGAAAACAAAAACATTCATCTTGGAATATTGAGAGGGAAATTCCAGAAAACAGGAACCCCAGTAACAGTTCCTGCAGCATCATTCTCACCCATTGTCACTTGTTTCCCAAACCCTCTTGAATTCTTTTCAATCTCCACCATTGAACACGAAGATTCACGCTCCTGTGGTGCCTTCACCACCCTCACTGAGAAATTGATGACCCCATTTCTGTTACCCTTCTCATCCCAAAGCCTATAACTCAACAACTGCAAGCTATTTTCTGAAACAAACCCTCCAAGGTCAAACTCAGAAACTGCTATTCGTGCTGCTCCCACACTTTTAACACCCAGCCATGTCTTGCATTGCACCTCTAACGTGATGCAGTTGGCTCCATCAACCAAGAACTTCTCGTTCCATGATGGGTTGTTGCTCCCACCCTCTTCTTCTGTCCTGGTTGTAAAGAATTTGGTGCATGATTGCGTGTGAACAACAACGTATGTGTCTTTTCTTATTGGTTTTCCGTTCATGCAAAGATTTTCGGCTGATATAATCGTGATCTCCATGCTGTGAGTGAGGAATGCAAGTGCATAAAGATCTATGGGATTTGGATTTTACAGAGAGAGAAAATGGAAAAGATTAAGATAGAAGGATCATGATGTCTGAGACATGAAACGTCTGCTTTTCTTGTCCTTTAGTAATGGCTTTGTAATATACTTTAATAATATTGGTGCTTGTTCGGTCTGTAGAGAAATTTTAAAGAAGATGGAAATTTATGCAGATACCAATATTCTTCTTTACAATAGTCAAGAAATTTCACTGTTGAATTGGACTTATTAGTTGACAGTATACTTGGAAATTCTTCACCAATTTACAATAAGTAAAACTCTTATTTTACTGAGTCGATTTTGTAAAAGTAAATTAAATTTAAAATTTATTTTTTAAGTTTGATATCATAATAATGTATTAAAGTCTATTATAACAAATTTATTATTTGTTAAATTTATTATTTCATTCAATATCATAGTGTTATCGAATCACTAAATAATGTTTAATCTTATGTTTAATATGCATATACATTAGAGTAAAGAATCACTAAATAATGTTTAATCTTATGTTTAATATGATATACATTAGAGTAAAGGAGATGTGTTGAAAGTATAACATCAATTAAGTATAAGATTAATTTATAATAGATAGTAAATGTAAAATTTATTTTATAAGTGGATTTTGTAAAATTAAGGTAAGTTTAAAATCTATTTTTAAATAATAAATAAACTTAATATGGATAAGAGAACATAATAGAACAAAACAAAGCAGCAGTATTGTGTAAACAAGATAATAGCCATGAAAACATTAATAAACTCGAAAATTCTTAGTCTTTGAAAATTCTTATTAAATATGATATAATATACATATATAAATATCAACCAAGGAGGTGCAGCTATTTTTGAACTGTACGTATTTGATGGAGAGCTTGCTTTCTTCGTCTGTCACTGTTTTGGAGGAAATTAGAAGGAAAAGCAAAAGTTGAAAAGTAAATTTCAGTGGGAATGGTCTTGTTAACGGAAGATTGAATGAATCTTTACTTTTCTCAACAAAAGTTGTTAGAATTTGTAGATTTTTCTGCAAAAAGAATTTCATTATTCTGCGTGTCTCAGTGGGCAAGTTTATCACGGTGATTTAAAATTCTAAATGTATGATATTTAGCAGAATAAATAAATTTTCAGAGTTTTTTAACATAACAAGTAAATTAAATTATATTTGTAAATAAAATATCTTTCCTTTTAGCTTGAAAACAAAATGTTTAGATTGACGTGCAAGACAGTGGAGAAACATGAAACTATTCCTTTTGTTTTTCTTTGCTGTGAGCGAAAACGTGGGGAAAAGTTATAACCTGAAAAAGAGAAGCGTGGTTAAATAGACAAGAATAATGTTAAGTGCTAAAGTTCTAATTTTCCAGGTACATGCACGTTTTCTGAATTGCGACAATGAGATCGTTTTCTGAATTGCTTCGTCTTGAGAAAAGTAGTCTTCATAATATATTTTTGTTTTTATGTTCTACCTTTTTTTTCTCTAGGTTTTTTAATTCCACACTATCACCCCTTTTATCTTTGTTTTATGGTAGTCTATTCAAGTTATATATATTTTGGATACAGGGGTCGAAGATTTCTACAAAATACTATTTTACACTTTTCTTTGAGTCACTTGAGATAATTCTGAACGCGTTTAAGTCAGTAATTAGTTTGATTGGATAAACTGAAAAATCTTAAATTTGTATTAAATGTCATCACCTACCTCTAACCTCTATTCATAGGTTTCAAGATGGGCTTATTTTTTTAACTTTTACCGGTGATCTTGATCAAGAGCTATGTTTAAGGGTCTTTATCTTGGAGGTCGTCCGTTTTGTCTCCCATCTCCATGACCGGGTGGTCAGTTAATAAGAAATACTTGTCTTGGTTGGATGACGCCTGATGGTGTTAATCACAACTTATTGGAACCGGTCGCTTATTCTTGGTGGACTTATACGGCAGTCCAATACTTTTACTTTTTAATTAATTTATCTTAATTTATTTTATATTCTAAAATGAAAATATTTTTCTATTAATATTAAATAAATGTTGAGCAGAAAATATAGTGTTTGTATCTCTCGCAACTAACCCCTTTAAGTGAATAATACTTAAAGACAAACTTTTTCCTACGTAATATCTAGTAAATATTTTAAAATATATATATAGAGTAAATTAATATTTACATCTAGCCAATCACGAAAACTTAGTATACATCTAGAGTGTACACAATATTTCAAAGAAAAATAGTAATAATAGTAATATAATAAGAATAATATCACTATAAGTGCCGCAATACACGAAAGAACCATGTCATGGACGAGTTACGTGATTAAGTAGATGACGGCTATCTGGTGCATGCGAAAATAATATAGTATTAGATTTATGAGATTAAATTAAATTTAAATCTATTTTCTAATATAGTATTAGTAAAGTTTTTTAAATATACTGAGCCACCTGCTAAAAGGGCAAAGAAGGAAAAATGTAAGAAAGCTATAATGAAATGAAAAATGAAAAATGAAAAAATAGAAATAAATGTAAAAACATTTTAAAACGTTCCTCCATTAGTGTTAATCTTGTTCTTTGTGCTCCAAAAGCCAAAATACTTAATTGGACAAAATATAGAACTTTATTTTGACTAAAATTCTCTTTGAGACATATTTCCAAGACTAAAGTGTCTAGTGTTTAGAAAAACTCCTTAAACTGATTATGATACGATTGTAATATTATTGTATAACTAGCTATCTGCCAAATATAGCATTTACGTTTCTTACTTGTTAAGTTAAACAAAGATACTTCATAAAGTCATTCTCACGCATGAAGAAGAGAATTAATTAATACTAGAATTTGGTAAGATAACATTTTAATGAAAAACACAATAAACAAAGAAAATCTCAAAGTTGATCCGGATCTTATTCATGAAATTAAGAAAGAAACTACGTAAGAGAAGCAACAACAAAATAAGAAAGTTGCACATCATTACAACATTTGAGTAAAAAAATTTGAAACTTAACACAAAGATTCCTTCAACAGGAATAACTCTAAAAGCAATTGTTGAACTTCATCCTAATAGCAAAGTCTTGCACAACCACTTCAAGAAGTAATAATTCCGATCTTCAAAATGTTCAGATTAGCATAATACACAACGAGAAGAGTCTTGAAGGTCGAAGAGAGATCACACTTCATCTAATCAAGATAAAAGGGTGGCTGAGTCCTATGCTCCTATAGAGAAACTCGACATTCTAATACTCAAGTACTAGAAGAATTCAACAAGTACAAGAGTAACTTGGAATCAGTGTCGAAATACAGAAATAAATTTGGTGTTCCAGTGATCGAGTATAGGAGAAACTCAACATTTCATGTATTCGAGTAAAAGAGCAACTCAATGTTGTAGTGACCGAGTACAGAAGTAGTTTGGTGTTCCAACACCCGAGTACAACAACAAATCGACGTTTCAATGCCCGAATACAAGAGCAACTCGACATTCCAATGCCTGAGTACAAGAACGACTTGATGTTTAATTCAATACTCAAATACAAGAATAATTCAGTAAATATAAGAACAATTTGATGTTTCAGTGTTTGAATATAAAAGTGAACTTGGTGTTCCATTGATCAAGTAAGGAGAAACTTGGCATTCCTAGTACCCGGGTACAAAAGCATGTCAACGTTCAAGTAACTGGGTATAGAAGCAATTCAGTGTTCCAACACTTAAGTACAAAAGCAAGAGTAGCTCAGCGTTACAATGCTTTAGTACATGATCACTCAGTGTTCCAATAAGTACAGAAGCAACTTGATGTTCCAACACCAGAGTACAAGAATAAGAGCAACTCAGTGTTCCATACCCAAGTACAAGAAGAATTTAGTTAGTAAGAAGAACTCGGTGTTACAGTACAACAATAACTCAATGTTCCAATATAGAAGTAACTTAATGTTTCTATGACAAAGTATATGAGTAAGTTGACGTTCTAGTGTCTGATTATAGGGGTAACTTGGCGTTACATTACCTGAGTACAAGAGAAGATAACAACCTAGAGTTATAATACTCAGATTCAAGAAAGAATGATGTAGAAGATAGACCTAATCTGGACTATGCCAAAAACTTTAAGTATAAAGAAAGCTTGCACTCATCTGGGACAAACCGTATTGCATTACAAATTCCCTCTAGAATAAAGTCTACAAACTAAAAGAGGTCAAATAAAAAGTTTATCCCGAGCGAGGATGTGGAATATAACCTACTTAAAAATGTATTACAATTAAGGTATGAGGAAGTCTGTAGTTTTTTTCCTTCACTTAAATTTTGCTCCTAAGTTGGGTTTTGTTAGGAAAGGTTTTAACGAGACACTTGAGTTATATAGATGGTAACATAAGCAAAGCCCTCAAGCGAGACACCAAATTACGTAGATAGTAACACATGCAAAGCCTTCAGACTAGGCATGAAATTACTTAGACAGTAACATAAGTAGAGCCCTCAAATGCGGTACCATGTTATTTAGATAGTAACATAAGTAAAGCCCTCAAACGATGCACTAAATTACTTAAATAGTAATCTAAGAAAAGCTCTCAGATGAGGCACCAAGTTACTTATACATTAACATAGGAAAATCCCTCAAACGAGGCACTGAGTTATTTAGGTGGTAACATAAACAAAAGTCCTCAAATGAGGCACCGAGTTACTCAGACAGTAACATATGCAAAGCCCTCAAATGGTACATCGAGTTACTTAGACAGTAACTCAAATAAAGCCCTCAAATGAGACACTAAGTTACTAAGACGGTAACATAAGTAAAGCCCTTTAACGAGACACTGAGTTACTTTGACAGTAACCCAAATAAAACCCTCAAACGAGGCATTAAGTTACTTAGCCAACAACATAAAGCTCACAAACATGGTACCTTATGCCTACGAACGCGGTGCCCAGAGTTATCTAGATGATAACATAATCCCACAAATGTGGCACCCGAGTTACTTAGACGATCACATAAGTTAAACCCGCAAATGCGATACCATGTTACCTAGACAGTAGCATAAGTTTTGCCTTCAAACGAACCACCGAGTTACCTAGATGGTAACAAAAGTCCACAAACATGGCGCCAAAGTTACCTAGACAGTAAGACAAGTAAAGACCGCATACATGGCACCGAGTGACCTAGACGATAACATAAGTTAAAGCCCGCAAACGTGACATCCGAATTACTTAGACAATTACAAAAGCTCACAAAACGAAACTTGAGTTACCTAGACGGTAACAAAAACCCACAAGCATAACATCCTGAGTTATCTAGACGATAACATAAGCCCACAAACTTGATACCCGAGAGTTACCTTTGCGATAACACAAGTTAAGCTCGCAAACACGAGATCTAAGCCTATCTAGATGGTAGCACAAGTTAAGTTTGCTTAGACAACACCTTAGCCTACTTAGACGGTAGCATAAAGTTAAGCTTGATAGATGACATCCGAACTTGCCTAACTTAATTGGTGTTGTGTCTTTCGAGTAATTCTCTTTCTTTTGATAAATGTATCTCTCTTTTGATAAATGTAACAATTTTTTTATTTTAAATTTTAAAATATTATGTACAATGAAGATTTGACTATGGACTATTCAAATGAACGAAATTGAGAATACGAAAATATTTTTTTTAAATCATCTAATAAATTAAGAATTTAGACGATTTAATTTCAGAAAATTAATAATTACTTTTTAAAAATGCAATATGTACTATATGAAGTATACCGATCGAAATCGATTGTCATTAAGTAGGTACTAATAGGCTAGATTGCCTTACATTCTACAAGTATACGGCATTAATGATTAATTATTGGGTTTGATTACTTAAAATATATTGCACTAATGGTTAATTAATGGACGTGACTGTCACAAGCCTTATAAGTAGACAGTTGATGTTCAGGTAGAATCACCTTTTTCTATCCTAATAAAATATAGACCTCTTTATGAAACATATCTGAGCGTCACCTTTTTCTATCCTAATAAAATATAGACTTCTTTATGAAACATGTCTGACTAGAGCGTCTAGTGTCTTCTGCAGGTCAGAAACTCATTGTAGTGGATCGCATTCTCGGAGAGGATTAAAGATCAAAAGAGAGTAGAGCAAGGAAGGACGACCGACCTTCGGACCAATTCAACCAAAACACAATACATATAAAAAATTACACAAAAAGAAAATATGTTTACTTAAAATTATAATAAATAAAAGTATGTACAATATTTAAATAAAGTTAAATAATATAGAGTGAGTGAAACAATTGAAAAGTAATAAAAAGTTATTAAAAAAATCTTCTAATAAAATGAAAAAAAAAATATTCCTCCTTCTAACTTCCGTTCATTTGGAGGGATTCCATGAACCTTTTCTGCCTGCCTACAATTTTTGTCGGCCCAGATCATAAAGTTAAAAGAAAATATAATTCTATTATTATTCAATTGATTTCACAAAAGTGGCTTTAAAAAGTCCGGTGAGCCGTTTTAAAAAGTCCGGTGAGCCGTTTTTGAAGGAACGTAAGGATTTGTTAGGGTTTTTATTAGATTATCTTTGGTATCAAAGAATTTGATGCGCGTGAAAACCTATATATGCGTTTTATTCTGGAATTAAATAATATATATTTCTTTAACATGAAAAAGGTATTTTTATTGTCTGAAAATACACAAATATTTTACTGTTTAAGGTTTTTTGAAGTAGCCTTTTAATTAAAATTGTCTTTTAAGTAGCCTTTCAATCAAAATTTGTTCTTGATAGAGTTGTTTAAGGATAATTGACATTGATAAGATTGAAGTAAACTTTTGCTTATAATTTTCGCTCGCCACGTTGAAGTATTGTTATTTCAAAATATATTATTGATATTAATGGTCTAAAGTCCAGTGAATCTAAAATTGTTTTGAAGTCTAAGTTTTAAGGGTAATTGTTTGTTTAAACTATTTGGAGGTATTTGAAAAAGTATTTTAATGTCAAAATTAATTTAAAGTTGACAATTGAGATATAAATAGTGAAGTAAATCTTTATCACCTATTTTTTTTTATCTCAAATCTATATTTTTATATTTTAAAATAATTTTTTTATTAACGTATTATGATTTAATTAAGGATAATCATACTTTAAGTTAATCAATACTAAGATTAATTATTTTGACACTTTCGTGATTTTCTATTTAGTTTATAAATGATTGAACAATCATACTACCGGATAATTATAATACATTTATAAATAATTGACTAGTTTACATGCATTTAACTATAAATAGCACCGTATAACATGCATGAAAAAATCCTTTAAAAAAAGTATACGTATTATACTATATCATGAATGATATGTCACCGTCAATTGATACTTTGATACCTCTTTCCGATATAAGTTAAAAACAAGTTAAACTAAAATTGAGTTCTAAATAGAAATTAACAAACAATTTTTCATACAGAAAACCTTCAATAATAAAGGAAAACTACATAATAAATAATTCCAATTTGATTTTTACTACGGAGAAGAGCTTTATATGTGTGTAAATATAAACAGGACAACATTTACACTTATTATTAACAGGAGTATTTTTCTGTATTTAATTGAAAGTGATTATACATGACCTTTTTTATATCACACTTGCACATGATGGGACATGGTTGCAAAGAGATATATTAGTAAAAGATTAAATAATAAGATGTGAACTAAACTTACCAAAAAAGTTCAAATCCAACTTCACTTCAAAATATTAAAGTAATAAATAATAGGTTTTAATTATGAACGTTATGTTTATATATTACTTAATGATAACATCACGGTGAATTACTGTATTCGATGTATTTGATGTATTATTCATTTTGAAACCTTACGTTGTTTTGTTCAGTTTTTTCTTAAAAAAAACACCTCAAAAAATTTAAGAAAAAATAAATATTTGGTTTTTCTTTAATTTTAATTCTTAAAAAATGTGTAAATATTAGATATATTGAAACAAGTCTTTAATCGGGATTTAAACATCTCTAATGAAGACTAATAGAATAATAATTTATTTTTGGAACTTTCTTTTCATTTTTATCTAATCTTTCAATTTTAATTTTTATCTAACATTTCAATTTGAAGTGTTTTTTTGAAATAGTATGATATTATAGTCAATCATTATATTTAAGGTATTATATGTGAACCTGTAATTACTTTTGTATTTAAAAAGTATATCAAAAAGTTAAAAAAGAAAATTTAAACTATCCTTGAAATCTGAAATATATACTAATCTCACATCATTTAAAAATTCAAATCAAAATCAATTTAGATGAATTTTTAGTCTTAAAACAAAATTATAATAATATTTTAGTGTGGAAAAAAGAATATACAATAGTTATATATAATATTATTCGTTCTTTTTAGAGTATAAGGATTCTCATAATCTTAAAAACAAAGAATTGAAAAATCAAATTTGATCTAAATTGTTTTTTATTTGAACTTCTAGACTATACGAGACTCGTGTATATATTTAAGACTTAAGGATAGTTTAAATTCCCTTCCCTTCTCTAGTTACAGGTCATAACTTGCTGTCAGGAATTTGTTCTACCTGTCAGCAAACTGTTGTTGCCTATGACAATACTTCAATGTGAAAAAAAGAAACGTAATCGATCTGCAACTATAGAATAAATCCTATGCTTAAGTTTGGCCAGGTTTGGATATTTTCTAATCCTCATAATAAGTTAGTCAATGAATTTTAATTTTATATAACTTCTCTCAGTTCTTAATTTTTATTTTCTATATAAATTAATTTTAACTTCTGTACAAATATTTGTAAAATTAGGTTTAACATGCTGACCTCACCAAGTGTTGATTCTGAAGAATTGAGTTTTTAACTAAACACACCACAACAATCATTCTCGAGACTAGATTTAGAACTCCTTAAACTGATAAATGTTGTCTTAGTTACTTGCAAAAGTGTGCTTCTGCATGAAATCTTGTTCTAAAACTTACATTTTATAGTCAAATATAAATTTGCATTTGGTAAAATAATTTCTTGTTATTCACTCAGCCAATTTATTTTTATATTTAGTTGAATAAATCGATTTTAGTATTATAAGTTAATTATTTATTTATATAAATAATTTGAGTGCCTTAATCAAGGTTAAACAGTTGAGCATATTTGGTTCGGCATTTCTTAAATCAGTCATACATTAAATCATTTCCAACAACGTTGCCAGAAGAAGAACACAGCATGTCCCGTTCCCTAACCCTAACATTGAACTTAATAACCCCACTGCGCCTCCCTTCCCAATCCCTCAACCCGTAACTCAGAATCTGCAGGTTCTGCTCCGCCGCCGCCGCAGCGCTGAGCAACTCGGCTATGGCTATCCTTGCTATCCCAACGTCCTTCATGCTCGGCGCGTTCTTGCACTTCACTGTCAGCGTGACGGACCTCGCCTGTGCCGGCACGTCCACCTCTAGCTTCTCGTTCCATGACGGGTTGCCACTGCCATCGCTGGTGGTTTCTACCGTGGCCGTGCCGGTTGCGTAGCTGGCGATGGAGTCCGCTCGCACCACCACGTAGAGGCTCTGAGCAGCGTGCCTCCAGTTGGCGTGGAGGTCCTCCACCGATAGAACAGTGAGGTCTAGGGTTCTCTTTAGAGAGTCGTGTGGTCGGGGTTTTGAGTCCATGGGAGAAGGTTGGAGAGAAATAGGGTTAGAACTTGGTGCGGGTTTTGTTGATGGACAAAGGAAGGAACGGAGTGTTATATGTACTTATAATAAAGTTTCTTAATTTTATTTATTTTTAATTTTACATCACTATGAATAAATTAAATAATAAGAATATATTTGATGTTTCCTAAATTTTAAAAAGCCAAACTCTTTTACGGATCTTACCGGAAAATATTAAAGAAATTTATATTCTTTATTCATTATCAGTGTGAACACTTACATGTATACATTTTCTTTCTTATCATAGTAAACATTAATATAATAATAATAAAATTAAATATAAATAATTTTCATAATTTTGTTAAAGTCAATTTACAGTATATAAACAAATAAATACAAATTTAACTTTCCAAGTTGATTTTATAACTTAACATGACAAGTGTGTTGTAAATTTCAACTTAAAAATAGATTTTGTAAAATTATATTAGATCTAAAATTTATTTTTAAATAGTTTTTATTTATTTTGTATGTAATGATTATTTTAACTTGAAAAAAATAGTTAAGTTTTAAAAATGATTAAATTAAAAAAAAATTACATAAATATAATTCATAAAATAGTTATATATTTTAGTTTCAAAATTATATATTTATTAAAAAATAAAATTAAGAAAAGGTATACCAAAAGAGTAAATTCTTTTTATATAATGGTATAAGGAAAATTTTTGTGCCAATTTATTTATAGTATACTAAAAAATAAAGAAATAATGCAATAAATGTGAAACATGAAATACATAACAGGAAAAGGAATCTGAATGTACCCACCGTCCAAAAACATTAAGAAATTCATCTTAATAGAAAACACATCTTATCGAATATATTCTCTAAGCAATGAAAACACATTTTTTTCACTAACCTAATAAATTTTTTTTATCAATAATAACAAATATATATTTAAGAGAATCAATTGAGCTCGATTTTAAAAAAATTAAAAAGTGAAATAAAAGTTCATCTGAAATCATTACAGAAAGCCTCTCCAATCTTATATATTTTAAAGTGTTGATTATTAAGATGGATCTCATATACATTTTAATAAGAATTATATCTGTTACTACTGAGTAGGATGGACCGACCGGATATGCTTAGTTGCTACTAAGTAGGTTAGATCGATCGTCCAACGACCGACCGAGTACGTAAGGGTGATGGAAGCCGGTAATTCCCGAACGGACGCCAGGGTGATATTCGCGAACTCTCCAGCCGGCTGGAGACAAGCTTTTGAATGACAAGGAATGTATACTTGAATGACAATGAATGCATAATTAATGAGGTAACGGTCATTGTCGAACAGTTAAGGTGAGCATTGATGGTCATTAAGAAGTAAATTAATAGTTAATATTCCTTGAAACCCTATAAATAATAGGGGATTAAGGAGGTAAGCTCTGATTTGACTAATTTTCACTAGACTTGCGAAGATAAATTCTGACTTGAGCGTCAGAGGTGAGACGGAAGCGAGAAGGACTCATCGGTGAAGGAGGAGCGTTCCCGAGCGGTAGCTGCAGGAGTTTTCCTCAGTCTCTTTCAGCGGAAACAATATCTGACATCATTATAGAGCTCTCCAATTTATATATTTTAAAGAGTTGTTAATATTATTAAGATAGATCTTATATACATTTTATTAATAATTAAAAATAGAATTATTTAATTTTAACCTAAAAACTAGAAAAACTTTAAGTTTTGTTCTTTTGAAAGAAATGACTTGAGATAGAGGATGGATTTATATGAATTTAAATATAAAGTGTGTGTTGGCTATTTTAAGAGGTTTGGAGGTGACGTGGATTTATGAGTAAAATTTGTCGTGAGAGATTTGACTAATGTGAAAAATTAAATAAAATTTTTAATAAATTAGAAAATAAGACTATCAATTGATTTTATGTTAAATGTAATATAAAATTATATTTTTAGATGAATTAAAATTATTATAGAAATTTTTTTAATGAGTAATTTTTTTACCAAATATTAATTGAAATAAATAAAGAATACAATATATTTGGTATTAAAAAAATTAATATTTTAAATTTTAATATTAAAACTTAAAATAATTAAAGATTTATTATCACACAAGTAATAAGATCAACTAAAAATATGTCATAATATAGGATGAGAACGTATATTACAAGAAACAATATGATTTATGATCAATCAATGTTTAATTCTTTCATTCATATAATTTTGTAACTTATAACAATGTATACATTATGTGTACACAAGCTTGAATGAACTCACTGTTCACCACCAAACAAAAGGCACACAACACCTCCTTCCATGATATATCACCTATAATATGGAATGAAATTCAAATCAAATATAAAAAATTTTCATCAAACAAAACACATGGCAACATCATCACCTCTACCATAAGTAACTAGTAGGAACTCCTAACCACGAACCACCAAAATCCACATAAATCAAACCACTCAACACCCTCCAATGGTGAAGTTACCTCCACCACGAACGGTTATCACCATGTCGCCTCCACCAACGACCATCATAGGTCTTCGGTTCAACTATCGAACCACCTCATACAACCTGTCCAACACTTCCTATAACACAACACATTTTTTAGAACAAGTGAAAGCTTTGGAACCGGTTCCAGGTACACAAGAAAACAAATTCCAACACCTTAAAATTGATTCCAAACAAACGAGAACGTATTTCATTCTTCTTGGAATCTATTCCAAGTTTTCACATATTCGGTTCCAAATCTTCACAAATTCGATTCAATGCATGTGTCATGCCATTCAACCTGCACACAAGAATTATAATACGAATCTAACCAAGTTTTTATTATAAAAGAAGATGTATGTTTTGGAGTGTTGGGTTGCTAAGCTATTATGCTACCCATCAAACATCTACTCTACCGGGTTGGTATGATGTTGAGCTTCTATGCTGTTAGGCTACTATAATGTTTGTTGGACTAACATGCTATCGGGTTTCTTGGATGTTAAGCTTCTATGCGCTATCGGGCTATTGTGATGTTTGTCAAGGCTACTCTTACTATAATACTTTCCATAAACCATGAACAACACACTTGTCACAATCATTATGTACTCACCTAGATTTGAGCAGTGTGCACTAGTAAAAAATAAGGATTTTAACTCGTCCATTTGACATCGGTTTTGTCTAAACCGAAGCATAAAATGATGCAGTGACATTTTTGTAACTATCGCAAACGTATATGCTTCGGTTCAAAAAGAAATGAGGCCTAAAGGGGTCTACAACTTCGGTTGTTTAGATAACCGAGACATAAAATAGCTGATTGTTTATTGTCTTTAGGCAACAGTTCTTTACAGAACAAAGGCGGTAGAGGCTTATTGCTTCGATTAAAAAAAAACTGAGGTAATAACATGCGTTTATGTTTAAATTTCGTGAACAGAGGCATTTTTAGACAGAAGTTATCTTCTACGCTGCTGCTCTCTCTTGTATTCGATTTCGTGACCACCATCTTTAACATTTCTTCCAATTTTTCTTTCATTTTTCATTGATTAAGTGCTTAGGAATGATTTTATTTCATTTTGACCGATTGATTTTGTGCACATGTGCTCTTTGCATAGACGCTTTGGGATGTTCATTTCGTTTCATTTCAACCCCAAACTCACCTTCAAGGTTAGATCCATTTTAGGGTTTTCATGTTTTCGTTTGGTTGTTTGTTGGACACCGTTTTGTTTGCAGTGTTTTCTGGACAACATTTCACATTTTATGCTTTCCCGATAAATACAAAACAACGTTTTCTAGACAGTGTTTTGTGTGCAGGTCTGTTTATGTGTTTGTTTTTGTGTTTCTAGGATTATGTAATATATTTTTTGTGATCTGAAATGGTTACAAAAACGATCAATTTATTTTTTTAAAAAATACTTTAGACAACGGTTCTAGTAAAAATCGAGGCAAAAAAAGGCCTATTGCATCGGTTATAGATCCAACCCAAGCAATAGACTCATTGTTTTTTTTCTTTATAGCTTTGGGTTTTTTGAATTGAGGCCAAAAGTCTCAATTTTTTACCTCGCATGAATATATCTCGGTTCTTCAACCACTGTTATAAAACCAAAACAATTGAAGCAATATCCTTGTATTGCACTAGTGGTATAACACCAAATTATCTTTAAAGCTTTGGAAAAACATCACTACACGAGTACTTCGAGGAAACAATATAATACAACTCCCCACCGCTACTCAATTAATAATATATACCAACCAACTATTTAATGACTCATCGAAAAAAACTCAATTGTGCATGGTCAACAAGTCAAAGGTGTATGAGTGTGTGGTCACCTTTGAGGTAATGAATATCTCTTGTATTCTTTAGGAGTCTCATAAGTACACGTAAAAAATAATGGTACATATAAAAAATAACAATAGTATGCCTATGAAAATAAAGTAATAAAAATATTTATGTAAAAACGCTACCTTTATTTCTCAAATATATCTTCATAACAGGGGATGGCGAATTTATATCTATCTCAAAAATTACTTTCCATCGCTTTTTCATCATTAAAAAAACATTAAAAGATATTCAAATCTTCGTTTTATATTCTTCCTCAAGAATAATGCCTTTCAAAATAACAATGTAAATGTTAATGACATAATCATACATAATAACTACTTTATTACATAGGGTTCTTTACAAACCCAATCATGCTTGTAGAAACATCTCTTAAGAATCAGGTTCTAGATTACGTTACCATGGGTTCTTAAATTAAGAATAGGATATAGAATAAGTTTTGATTTCAAATAAATTTTTACACTTATTATATATGTATTATTTTATTTTTATATTTTTTAATTAACTTACTTTTTATGAATATGATTAATAAAAAACAAAATTTTATATTTATGAAAAAATAAAAATAAAAATAGATGTAGAAATTTGTTAGGTTGTAAAATTATAATTCTTCAATGAAAGATTATATGTCGGTCGTGATATATTTACTTTCATAAAATAAAATACACTCAATTCATAACTCGATATAATTATATTTTAATAATATTTTTTTTAATTTAAAATTTTAGCACATATTATTATATT